GGGGGGGGGGCGGCTTGCATTTCTGGAAGTGCCTATGATCCCCGCTCCCTTTTCTCTCTCCTCACAGCAAACCCGAACTGACTTCTCCTGGGATGGCATCAATGTGAGTTCCCCCCCCCCCCCCCCCCGGTTTTCTCTAGCTCCTCTCCCTTATATTCTCCCTTAGACTGGCTACAGAACACAGCTGTTCTAGGTTCCCTACCGACCTGCCATGCTTTTCAAGGGCAGTTAGGGGATGAGCTTCCTTGGGACTCCTGGGTGTAATGAATGGTTCCCTTATCACCTGCCCTGGCTCAGGCCCTTCCTTCCTTCTGGAAACCGTGAACTCTCCTCTGCCCCTCCTCCCACATTCTCTATCCCAGCTCTCCATGGAGGACACCACTTCCATTCTGCCGAAGCTTAAGCGAAATTCTAATGCCTACGGCATTGGGGCCCTGGCCAAATCATCATTCTCAGGTGAGACTCCCGACCTGGGGATGTGTCCAGAGAGGAGAATCTCTACAGACTCCTGGTCTCGATCTCCTTGCTCCTTCGGATCTAAAGAAGACCCCCCCCCCGACCTATTTGCCCTTTCCTTCATGCCCTCCTGTCCAGGCTGCCCCTCATATGGAGGCCTAAGGGATCCCTTCCCTCATTGGGCGGAGTCCCATGGGACTCGGGTGGGGCTACCGGGTGGGTCTTGTATGGGCATCCTGTGATATTCTGGAGGATGTGGGGAATGTCTGGCCCCTCAGGGATTTCTCGCAGCATGAAGGACCATGTGACGAAGCCTACAGCCATGGGGCAAGGCCGGGTGGCCCACATGATTGAGTGGCAGGGCTGGGGGAAGGCACCAGCCATTCAGCCGCAACACAGCCACGAGGCGGTGCGCAGGGATACCGATGCCTACTCCGACCTCAGCGATGGCGAGAAGGAGGCACGTTTCCTAGCAGGTACTTGTTCTTGGGACCCCCAAGAGACACGTGTTCAGGATGGCCAGAGAGTGACCTTCCAACCTGATCCCCTCTGGCAGGACTTGCTCTATCCATATCGTGACCATAAGACTTAATTTCCCAATCAGCTCTGATTTCAGGCACTTGGACTTAATTGATTTGGATAAGGGTCTTCAAACTTATTTTCATTATCATCTCAGAAGTTAAGAATTACATGGGATTGTGGGTCCACCTGTTCCGGATGCCTTCTCTTCTACATGGGAGGACTGTCAATACCTGAAGGAAAGGCAGGGGCCTCTGACTCTGAAAGGCTCTCCTTCTACCCATGTTCTTTGTTTTTGTTTCTTTTTGAGAGAGAAGGAGGGGGGTGGAGAGCAGATGAGAGCCGGGTAGAGGGGCAGAGGGAGAGAGAGAGAATCCCAAGCAGCCCCATGCTCACTGTGGAGTCTGACGCAGGACTCCATCCCACAGCCCTGGGATCATCACCTGAGCCGAAGTCAAGAGTCCGATGCCCAACTGACTGAACCATTTAGGCCCCCCTCTACCCATGATTCTTGAGGAAAAAGAACAGAAGGCTGTGGGGATCCCTTCTAGCCTTTGCCCCTCAGCACCTTGCAGTAGAGGATTCCCTTACTTGGCTCATTACTTGTGACAGCCGCTAGGTCAAGGGGCCTGGGTGAGGAGAGGGTCGTATACAGAAGAGGTTTCTTTCCGGGAAAGCGGTATTGCTACAAGACAGGCATATAGCATACCTACAACAGTGACCAAGCCCCTCTAACACGTCTCCATAGATACGTAGGAAGAATGAGATCCAGAAGAGAAGAGAGGGCTCTCGGTGTTGGTGGTGTGGATGGTGGAAGAACTCTCCATGAGGAGGGGAGCCAAACATGTAGTGGGTAGGGAGTAGTTTAGGGCAGCTGGCTATGTAAACTTCAACTTAGGACTTTGACTGGGATGGGGACTCCCGAGTCTACCCATCCTCCCTAGTCTATTCTCCCGCCCTTCTCCTTCCAGTTTCTTGAACTTTCCACTTTTTTTTTAAATGTTTATTTTATTTTTATTTTTGAGAGAGAGTGCACACACATGTGTGAGTGGGGGAGGGGGAGAGAGAGAATCCCAAGAGGAATCCATGCTGTCCGTGCAGCCCCCAATGTGGGGCTCGATCCCACAAACGACTTGAGACTAAATCAAGAGTCGGGCATGCAACCGTCTGAGCCACCCAGGTACCCCTCTTGACCTTTCCACTTAAAACTACTATGGACCTACAAGCCCATGGTACTCCTTCAGGGATTCTCTGTTGAACCTGAACCCTCTCATTTAGATTCCTCTGTCTTTGACTACTAGCTAACATTCTTTTTTTTTTTTTTTTTTTTTTTTTGTTTAAAATTTTTTTTTTTTCAACGTTTATTTATTTTGGGGACAGAGAGAGACAGAGCATGAACGGGGGAGGGGCAGAGAGAGAGGGAGACACAGAATGGGAAACAGGCTCCAGGCTCTGAGCCATCAACCCAGAGCCCGACGCGGGGCTCGAACTCACGGACCGCGAGATCGTGACCTGGCTGAAGTCGGACGCTTAACCGACTGCGCCACCCAGGCGCCCCTAGCTAACATTCTTAAAACCTTCTAAAGATAAACTTCTGGGAATTCCTCATTTCAATCCCTTTGGATATCTTACCAGAAGACCCCTTAACTCTAGGAATTCTTTTTTTTTTTTTTTAAGTTTATTTATTTATTTGGCGGGGGGAGGAGGAGGAATGGGGGTGGAGCAGAGAGGAACTAAGCAGGTTCCATGCTCAGTGCAGAACCTGATGTGGGGCTTGATCTCACAACTGTGAAGTCATGACCTGAGCCAAAATCAAGAGTCAGTTGCTTAACGAACTGAGCCATCCGGGTGCCCCAACTCTAGGAATTCTTAATCTGACCTTCCGGGAAATCTCATGCGGTTTTGCCCTATTTTGGGGCATATGCAAAGTCTGTGTTGTCCAGTAGAGTAGCCACTGGCCACATGGTGGCTACTGAGAACTTGAAATGTGGCCAGTCTGAATGGAGATGCACCGTCAGTATAAAATACCCACTGGATTTCAGAGACTCGTCTAAATAAAATAATGTAAACGATCTCATTAATCATTTTTATGTGGATTAAGTGTTGAAAGAAAATCTAATATATATTGGGTTAAGTAAGATATATTATAACAATTAATTTCATCTGTTTCTTTTAAAGTGTCTTTACTATGGCTACTAGAACATTTTAAATTACCAAAGTGGCTTGCATTATATTTCTGTTGAACGGCGCTGCCTCGCTGTCCCTCTACCCCCTGCATGTGTCTAAGGGTTCCCAGAGCTATCTCGTGCCAACCACTGTTCTTCTAGGTGTCATGGAGCAGTTTGCCATCTCCGAGGCCACACTCATGGCCTGGTCTTCCATGGATGGTGAGGACATGAGCGTCAACTCCGCCCAGGAGCCATTGGGCTGCAACTACAGTGACAACTACCAGGAGCTGATGGAGAGTCAAGGTGAGGGATGGTTCCTCTCAGGCCAAGGAGGCCTCCTCTGCTATCTAGGCTGCCTCTCTTCCTCTCTGTTCTTCTGAGACTTTCTGTTCATCTCAGCTTTCCTACTCTCCTCCCCGCGGTCTCCCTCTCATCCTCTGTGCTGTTGTTACTGCCTTTGACGTTCTGTAACCCTGCCGACCTCCGTGATTCTCTTCACAGATGCCCTTGCTCAAGCCCCCATGGATGGATGGCCTCACTCCTATGTGTCCCAGGGCATGTACTGTCTGGGGTCGTCAGATGCCTGGGAAGCCAGTGACCAGTCCCTCATCGCCTCCCCGGCCACAGGATCCTATCTTGGCCCTGCATTCGATGACTCACAGCCTAGCTTGCATGAAATGGGGCCTTCCCAACCTGCTTCCGGGTACTCTGCTCAGGAGCCTCCACCTTTGCTGGGGGCGGACGCTGACTGGGCTCCGGGGGGCGGTGGGGTGGACCTGGCTAGGGGCCCTGCTGAGGAGGAGAAGAGGCCGTTGGCCCCCGAGGAGGAAGAGGATGCAGGATGCCGGGACCTGGAGTCACTTTCCCCACGAGAAGACCCTGAGATGGCCACTGCCCTCAGCCGGAAGGTGTCTGATGTCACGTCCTCAGGGGTGCAGTCCTTTGATGAGGAGGAGGGCGAGGCTAACAACTAGCTTCCACCCACTCCACGCCTAGCCTTCCACTCCCAGCTGAGGGGCCTGGCTGCAACAACACCCTCCCTTCCCCCAGCAGTACAGCTGAGACCCGGGCAGAAGACCACGAGGAACCCAGGAGTTGCCTGTCCTCGCCAGGAAAATGGAGAGCCAGGGTGGGATTTAATCCAGGCATATGCTGTAGAACCACAGGTCCGGGAACTGAGGCCCAGGCAACCAGATGGCCGTGAACTTTGCTTGGCTGCGGGCTTCCGGGTCTGTGATGATGAAGCTCCAGGGCATCTCCCGAGGTCGGGAGCACAGAGCGGCTTGTAGCCGTCGATGGGGATCTCACTTCTTCACTTTCTCATTCGTCTTCCAGGAGCCCTGACTGTGGCTGTGGGAATGCCTCCTTTCTCCATGTCACTCTTGCTTTTCCCGACTCTGTGTTTTCTCTGGCTGTGGCCCCAGCTCATCCCCACCGTGAGGAACAGACCTCAGGGGCTATTGGTTTGGCTCGACAGGCACAGGGGAAGCCACCGAAAGGCACAGGTTCTTAGAGGGTTGAGAATCTGCCCTCGGCGAAAAATTGGCTTCTGAGATCGGGAGTCATGGGGGAGGTGCGTGTGGCAGCTGGGATGCACAGGGACTCGAACTCGATTCTTTACATCAAGGCCTGCCCACAGCCCAGAAAGTCACCGATGAGACCAAGAACAAACATGGCCGCCTGTTCTGGGACCTTGACTATCCCATGGCTGGAAGGAGGATCCAAGGATCTGGGGCTGGGGCTGGCTGCTCCAGCTCTTGCTTCCTTTTCTGCCTTCTTCTGGCTCCTGCTCTGGGAACCCTGGCCCTGAGGGGGTGACGCAGAATGCAGGTGTCCTGGCCAAACGGGGAAGCATGAGGGCTGTGTCTCCCTCCATCCACCCTCTAATTCTCTGGAGCTGTTTACACTTTTCTCTTTGCCTTTTCTACATTTTTATAACTTCTTGGGGACTCAGGGTTGAGTGGGGTGGAGGGAGGAGGCCGGTGCTGTCAGGCCCCAGCCAGGGTGGGCTGTTTGTGAAAGAGCAGTGTGGGCACATGGCTCCTTTGCCCCTTCTTCAGCTGCTCCCAGGACTCCAAAGAGGGCCTCACAGGTGTTCTCCCTCCCTCCCCAGGCCTCCTGTGGAGGAAGAGAGGAGAATCAGAGTATTCTTCCTTCCAGGACAGGTGACAGTGAGGCATACGCCCCTGGAACGGCGTGCCCTCCCCCACCCAGTTCCCACTGTGGTGGGGACCTCTGTGTGGCGCTTCTGTGAGAGATCCTGACAGCAGGGGCCGGGGGTAGAGCGAAGGCCGCCGCAGCTGTGGAGCTGGACGGCACACTGCCCTCCCTGCTGCAGTGACACAGGGACACTGTGGGTAGGAGAGAGAAGCTGAGGGCTTCCTTGTTGCCTCTCGTGCCCGACGAAGGCTGCGGGTCCAAGGCCTTGTGTCCCACCCAAAGTTTGTCAGGGGCCCTACCACTTTCTCCTCCGCCAGGAAGGGAGCACTGTCCCAGACCCTGGGCAGAACTGCACCCCCCCCCCCACCATGCCCCAGACTTCTGTTTCTTTGGAATGAGGAGGCTGAGAGTCGGGGTGTTTCTGTCCATCCATGACCCCACCCCCACGGAGTTCACCCTTTCATCTGTGCTCCTAAAATGCAGCCGAGAACAAGGGCCCGTGTCCTCCAGGGGAGGGGAGAATGGTTTTCCTGGGGTCGGTCTTTGGAGGACCCAGGAGTGGGCACGGTGAGCACACGTAAGCAAAGTCACCTTTTCTACAACTGTCTCAACAGAAGACCCCTCGCGTGTTTGAAAATGTGACCTGCCTCAGGTGGCGGCAGGACCAGTAGCTGGGAGCTCTGGAAGTGGCCTCGCGTGGCCCTCACGCCAGACTCCTGCCGCGGGTCCTCGGGGGTTTTGCATGCTGGCGAGTCCCTGTGTCCTCGCCTGTGCCACCTGCCGTCTCGGCGCACCACCTTTCCCTCTTAGCCTCACCCCCTTCGTGCCTATGTTCTGCCCCCGTGCCCGGACCGCGGCGGCCATCCAGTCCAGCGGGTTCGTTCATTACAGTTCCTTTTTGCTCAGGGCCTGTGGAGTCGGGAAAGGTGGACTGAAGCGGCGTTCTCCCCGTCCTCCCTTCCTCCCTCCCTTCTCCCAGGAAGCCAGATGGTCCCTGAAACAGTGGCTGGAACTGGGAGGGAGCCTAGCAGACTTTGCATGAGGAGGGGTCTTGCAGACCAGAGGTCAGGTGGGGGCCTGCATTTCCCACTCTGAAGAGGAAGAACCAAGGACCTGCCCTGGGACCCTCTTAGGACTCTGACGGAGGGAGGAACTGCTCTCCGGTGCTGGGGGCAGGTGCATGGGGTTTGCTTATAGCCTATTCTAGGGGGAGGGGAGGGGCATGTGCAGGAAGAGGCTGTGGGGGGGCGGGGGGGTTGCTTTTCCTTTGGGGTTAAAGGCTGTGCAGCACGTTTTACGACAGTCCTGGAACAGGGCTGTTTTTATATTCTTGTGAATGAAACTGCTCTTGCTCAATGATTTTCCTTTGGGGGGGAGGGGGGTGCACTTTCATTTTCAAATCACTTTATTAAAGAAAAATCCAAATCTCCCATTCCTCCCCTTCCACTGCCCCACTGCCCCCCACGCCTTTCTTCTTGCCCCTCAGCTGAGGAGGGGCTCTTGGTGAATGAGTGTATGCCCTTCTCTTTGCCCCCACTTCTACATCCCATTCTGTGTCTTCCAGGTCTGGGAAATAATTCATTTTTACGGCCAGTCGTAGCATGTTTTCGTAATGTGACATTCCCACCCCAGGCCCAAGAGAGATTCTATGACATATATTACAGAGAGAATTATATATAAATATATATATATAAATATTATAGATTATTTACACATGGGCACGGGCTCACATGCCTACTGCCAACCCCCTCCCCAGGCTGTGCCCTCTCTCTCTCTCTCTCTCTCTCTCTCTCTCTCTGTCTCTCGGCCTGGGGAGGTGGAAGGGACGTGATGTTGGAGAGGGCTACAGGCTGTGTTCAATGGCACTAAACAGAATGTGGTGGCACATCTGACTATGAGTGTCTTATTTGGGGGGTGACGGAGACTGGGCACAGGGGAGGAGAAGGAGGAGAATGTCAGAAAGGGGTAAAACTGCAGAACCAGACAAGGCATAAAAGGAGGGAGGGAGGAAAGCCTTGGGTGTGGAGGCTCAGAGCACCCAAGACCACTTATAAGAAAGACAGGCTAACAGCAGACACCCTGTTGCCGATTGGGGGAGGATACGGATCTGACTTCCCCAGTGTGGGAAGCATCAAAGACATCTGCCACCTTGACTGTGAACCCTCCTCTCTCCACCTCTAGGAGAGGAACACAAAGAACCAGCCTAAAGGCTGGTGTCTGAGTGACCCAGTGACCTTGCCCTGAGCCTTGGCGCCGGGTAGAAGAAGCCACAGCCACAGCAGCGGGAGGGCACAGCTGACCCTTGGGCAGGACAGATCAGTGACAACACTGGGGAGGGGGATGTATGTTTCCAGGGAGTGACCTGGAAACTGGAGCGTGAGGAAACTGGTATGGGAGGGATTTCTGCCTGAAGGAGGTAGGAGTGACCCTGCTTCCTCCACAGAAAACTTTTCTCTGTCAGGCTGCCCCTCCTTTATCCACATTGCACTGCTTAAGTCTGAGGCAAAGGAGGAGGTGATGGGACCGGCCTTTCAGTGCCCTAGCGATGACCCTTGCCTCGTGACAGGTAGTGGGGGGGGGGGGGCAACTTCCAGGGAGCCGGTGTGAGCCAGTGGGAGAACGGGGTGGGGGGCTCTGAGAGAGGGGTGCGGACTGTTCTGGGGTATATTCCGGGGCCATCTGTCCACGAGGTCATGAGGGCCTCCCATCTCCTCCACAGGCCACAGTCATGTGGGTCCCCGCCATGGAGACTGGCAGACACATAGGCAGAGCCAGGAAGGTGTTGGGACAAGAACATCAGGGGGCTCCTGGAGAATAAGGGGAGGCCTGAAAGTCGCAGGGTATGTCCCATCCCACACACCAGAGAGACTCGGGAAACCCCACGGACTATCAGGCCCTCCGCTGGGGTTAGAAGCCCCTGCCTGTCTGCATGGGGGGACGTGGCCTAAATAACTGATCAAGGCTACTCTCTGCTGCAAGGAACCCTCCTCTAAGACTGTCACTATCCCATTTCACAATTCCCAGGAGGGGGCAGGACATCGGTGTGATCCCTCCAACCTCAGGACGTACCCTCTCCCACACAAAGCTAGCCTGGGGCCGGGGCCTCTGGACAGTCTTGAGGAGGAGGTTCTGGAGGCGTCACAGGATCAGTTCATCCTCGTCCTCCTCATCGGTGGACCGCAGACTGGGGCCCTGCAGGATATCAGCCAGCTCCTCTTCCGGCCCGGGACTCTCCACCAGCTCCAGCTCCTCCAGCTCGCCCTCCACCTTGGCTGGAGCCACCGAGAGAGGGGGCTCTGGGGAGGGGGAGGGCACGGGGGTCTCTGGGGAGGCGGGAGCCCTGTCCCCCGCCCTGGCCGCCCCAGTTCCGTCCTCAGGCAGGCTCCACGTGTCCGTGGGAGGGGGCGGGCCCCCAGGGTTCTTCCGAGCTGTCGTCGTGTTCCGGAAGCTGGCGAGGGGCGGGCGGAGCTGCACCCCGGACTTGGTGTGCCCTTCGATGGCCTTCTGCAGCTGCGGGGAGAGGGAAAGAGGGTACACGGTTGGGAAGAGGACGAAGATGGGGCAGGTGAGAGACACGGGCGCGAGAGAACAGACCCGCACGATGAGGAGGAACAGGACGCGTGGAGAGGCAGGAGACGGGGCCTGGGGAAGAGGTGCACCCGCGGGGCCGCGAGTCGCCAGCTCCTCTGGCCAGGCCCCTTCCTGGTGACCCTCAGGCCTCCTTCAGCCACATCCCACCCCATCCCATTTTCCCACAGATCACACACATGGAACTGTGACTCACGCCCTGAACCCTCACCCCAAACCCAAGCAGTCCACGAAGCTCCTGGGGGCGGTCCTCTCCACCTGCCCCTTGCGCCACCCACCCCCTCCAGTCTCCGCGTCAGAAACAGAGTGGGAAGTCTGGGGGACCCCCCCAGATGTCAAGCCATCCCCTCCCCACCCCCTTATCCTGTGCCCCTTCTTCCTCCTGCTGCTCCAGTGGGACATGCCATTACCTCCTCCAACGCCAGCACGCCCCTGAGCTTCCCCATGCTGGTCACGTAAGCAAGGTGGAGGCCGAGGAGCGAGAAGAGCGTGTGGGTCTGCAGGAAGAGAGCTGCAGGTCAGTGCGCGGCCGCCCCACACCTCCCCTGCCTGCAGCAGCCCTGAGCTGCTGGTGGTGGGCGAGGACTCGCCTTGTGCAGAGACGTCTGCTCCACCAGCTGGAAGGGAGACTGGTCAATGCAGCAGTAGTCAAAACACACCGGCTGGCTCAGCTGCTCCTTCTCCCAGGCCTCAATCTGTTGGGCAGAGTAGGGCCGTCGCTCAGTATCACGGGGCCCCCTTCAGCCTCAGATCTACAGCCGGGGCCCCAAACAGCCCTCCTAGCCAGCCCAGACCCTGAAATACGCAATGGAGTGTCACTGACCGCACTCCCCCCCTCCCCCAGTACTAGCCCCAGTACTAGCCCTCCTCCCTTCCCACCAGGGGCCAGCACCCTCTCCTCTCCTCCCTCATCAGGCCCCACATCACCTTGTCTCTCGGGCACAAAGAGCACCTCTCTGTCTTCTTGTCCTCTACCCCCTCCCCTCCCCACTCCCCACGCCCCAACCCAACTGCCCAGTCTTATTTTCCACCACTCCTGTGATACCCATTGCTCAGGGAAACCAGACGTGCCTTCCCAAACCTGCGTTTGCTATTCTCGCCCCTTGGATTCCCCTTACTGCCCCCACCCTGCCTGCACAGGCTCTCCTGACCTCCCAGGAGCAGGTTTTTCGTTT